CGCGATCTCGGCTCACCACACCTCCGCCTCCTGGGTTCAGGCAATTCTCCTGCCTCAACCTCCTGAGTAGCTGGGATTACAGGCACGCGCCACCATGCCCAGCTAATGTTTTTGTATTTTTAGTAGAGACGGGGTTTCACCATGTTGACCAGGATGGTGTCGATCTCTTGACCTTGTGATCCACCCGCCTTGGCCTCCCAAAGTGCTGGGATTACAGGCTTGAGCCACCGCGCCCGGCCGAGATCATCCTAGTTTATATCACTCTCCCCTGGTCCTGTTCCTTTCTCATGCATTCCTTTTTTAAATTTTTTTTTTGAGACAGAGTCTCACTCTGTATCCCAGGCTAGACTGTAATGGTGCGATCTCGGCTCACTGCAACCTCTGCCCCAGGTTCAAGCGATTCTCCTGCCTCAGCCTCCGAGTACCTGAGACTACAGGCACATACTTCCACGCCTTGCTAATTTTTGTATTTTTAGTAGAGATGGGGTTTTGCCTTGTTGGCCAGACTGGTCTCAAACTCCTGACCTCAGGTGATCCATCTGCCTCGGCCTACCAAAGTGCTGGGATTACAGATATGAGCTACTGCGCCTCACCTAATTTCTTATTTTTAGTAGAGAGGAGGTCTCACTTTGTTGCCCAGGTTGGTCCTGAACTCCTGGGCCCAAGGGATCCTTTTGCCTTGGCCTCTCAAAATGCTGGGATTACAGGAGTGAGCCACTGTGCCTGGCCTGAGACCCTTTTTAAGCTCCGCACAAGCTTCCCCAACTAAATTGACTTTTGCCACATCTAAACTCCAAAGGATTTTATGCCTCTTAGGGCTCTTTTCTACACATTGCAAGAGTCATACTTTTTCTGTGAGTTCTTGTAGCAAGAAAAAAGAAAACACACACACACACACATACACATGCAAGATTCATATTCATTTACACAGTTGCTGGCGCTCACTTTCAGGTTTGAATTCAATATTAATAGGCATAGGCCAAGGGCTCTACTGGCCAGAATTTAGGCTAGAACCCATATTTAACATTTATTAACAAATACTCTGCTACATGTCTGGTACTCTTATGGGAGCTGGAGATAAAGGGGTGGACAAGACAATGTCCCTGTCCTCACAGAGTTCACATGTATTTTCTTCCACAGGTCGTTTTAAGTTAGATAAATTAGGAATTTTTTTTTTTCATCTCAATAAGTATGGGGTGCCTAGAGGCAGCAGTTGTTGGAGATAACAAAAACACACACATACACACACAATTTTAAATTCAACAAGTATTTACTGGGTAGGTAATATGTGCCAGGCTGTGTGTTCACCACTAGGAATTTAACAGGGAGCCAGACACCAGTGGTTTTTCTTTCTCATAATAGCTTTATTGTGACATAATGCACATACCATACACCACCAATGTGAAGTGTGCAATTTAATGGGCTTGAGTATATTCACATAGTTGTACAACTAGCATCCCCTAAAAGAAACTCCATGCCATCAGCAGCCACTCCCCATTTTCCCCAACTCTCCCAGCCCTAAGCAACCACTGATTTTCATCTCTACAGATTTGTCTATTCTGGATATTTTATCTAAATGGAATCATGCAATACTTAGTCTTTTGTGACTGGATCCTTTCACTAAATCTGTTTCAAGGTTCATTCATGTTATAGTATTTCCTTTGGTTGCCAAATAATATTCCATTGTACCAGCGGAATTATTAGTACATTGTTCCAATATACCACATTTATTTATCTGTTCATTAATTGATAAACGTTTCAGTTATTTCTACTTTTTAGCTAGTATGAATAATGTTGATATGGGCCAGGTACGGTGGCTCACGCCTGTAATTTCAGCACTTTGGGAGGCCGAGGCGGGGAGATCACAATGTCCGAAGTTCGAGGCCGACTAGTCTGGCCAACATAGTGAAACCCCATCTCCACTAAAAATAAAAAAATTTGGCCAGGTGTGGTGGTGTGCGCCTGTAATCCCAGCTACTCGGGAGGCTGAGGCAGGAGAATTGCGTGAACCCGAGAGGTGGAGGTTTCACTGAGCCGGGATTTCACCATTGCACTCCAGCCCTGGCGACAGCGTAAGACTCCATCTCAAAATAAATAAATAAATAAATAATGCTGCTGTGAACATTCATGTACAAGTTTTTGTGTGGCCAAATGTTTTCAATTTTCTTTGGTATATACCTAGCAGTGGAATTGCTGGTTAATATAGTGATTTCGTCTTTAACCTTTGTTTGTTTGTTTGTTTTTTTGAGACGGAGTTTCGCTCTTGTTACCCAGGCTGGAGTGCAATGGCGCGATCTCGGCTCACCGCAACCTCCGTCTCCTGGGTTCAGGCAATTCTCCTGCCTCAGCCTC